CGTGTGAGCAGGTGCATTGTCTTGTGCAACAGCCATCCATCACTTCACAACTGTGGCATTTCTTTCCTAATTTTTTTTAATCCTTAATTAATTTAGTCTTTTTAGTACTTCAGTGTAGTACTGCTGATTAACAATCTGACTGCTGGGAACTCACTCAATCATTACAATTCCATTAATGTTCAAGAAGACAATTAATAATGCCCTGAATTTTGATTTATATCTGCATGCTTTGTCCCTTCCCCCTGAAAACCACTTATGCCATTCAAACAGACGTGCATGAGACAAAGTTTCATCTCCATAAACCTCAGTTAACATATGAAATGTTTCTGTGGCTGATTTCTTAAGTTTCACAAGAAACTTAATGTTGATTCGCTGTTCGGTTTTTACATTAGGCATTTTTTCCGGCAGAATGCAGTTGCACATGTTCACTCAATAACGCAGTACTCCCAACTGGTGTGATCAGTTAAGTAGAAACTAGCTGCATGGATAGAGGTGTGTGGGATGACATCATCAAAACAGCTGTTGGCCACTGCACTCTTTTTTCAAGCTACATACTTAAGTCTCTTTTTTTTTTTTTTTTTTTTTTTTTTTGTGTGTGTGTGTGTGTTTGTGTCACACCTTGTATAGTTGCAAAAAGCAAATATGATGCTGTGCATTATGGGTTGTGTTAATAGTGAACCTTCAAGAGTGATATTAACTTCAGAATTTATCTGAAGCGTATAGACCATACAGAGTATCTTCTAAAGATAATAACAAAATTAAGATCCCTTAAAGATAATTAGTTCTAAAAGTTTAGTTTATAAAAGAGATAAAAACGCCAAAAACTCTATTAGGCATTGATTACGAAAAACTTAACCAAATTACTGAAACAGATTTTGAACTCATAACTAGAATAGATGCAGTGCTAGACCAACTGAATGCAAGAGTGTTTTTTACATGACACCTAGCAGCTGATTATTGGCATGCAAAGTTAAATGAAAAAGATGGTGAAAAACTGGCATTTATAATGAATTTTGACCTTTATTAATTCAATAGTTTACTTTTTGGTTTGAAAAATTCTTCAGTTCTTTCTCAAAGAGCCCTAGACAAATTTTAAATAAATATCAAATTCAGTTTGCTTTAAATTATTTTGATGATGTAGTATTTTTCTTAAATTTTGACGAACATTTAGAACATTTTTAACTAATATTTGACATATGTGAAAAAAAATTAAAACAATCTAAGTGCTGTTTTGCAAAAGAAAAAATAAATTTTTTACAATATGAAATTCAAGCAGGAAACTATCAGCCCAGCAAAGCATATTTTGAAGTTATTAAAATATTACAACTCCCTGAAAATGTTAAAGAATAACAATGATTTCTTGGAAGTATCAATGTGTACCATAAATTCATCCCAAATTATGCAAGAATTACAGCACCTCTATCAAATTTACTTAAAAAATGTACCCCATATATACAGACACCTGAATGCCAACTGCCTTTAAAAATTTAAAAGACGCCTTAAATTCCAGACCCATTTTTAACTGTACTTAACCCAGAATATGCCTGGCATGTATTTGCAGATACATCTAAAGATGCTGTTACTGCAGTTTTAAAACAACAGCATTCAGATGGTAGTTTACATCCATAGCTTTCCATTCTTGAAAATTAAGATCTTAAGAGAAAAATTATGCAATTAGTGAATTAGAATGTTTCTTATTCTTCTTCTTCAATGGCCAGACAGCCCAGGATGACCCCTTGCCTTCCTCAGAATCGAATTCCAAGCTTTTCGATCCCTGCCATAGGCATCCAATTGGTTATTTTAAAATTCTTAAGTCTGTTTACAAACAGTTGAGCCACCTAAGTTTAGGTCTTCCTCTTTTTCGGATGCCGAATGGTCTGGCCGAGGAGACCTTTTTAGTTACTCGATTTTCATCCATTCTGCACAGGTGTCCTGCCCATTTAATTCTCTGAATCCTTATATATTTTACTTTATCTATTTCTTTAGAGGATTTATAGAGTTCAGAGTTAGTTCTTCTTCTCCAGATATTGTTACATTTTATGCCACCAAAAATAATTCTCAAAATTTTTCTTTCAAAGACAGAAATAATACTTTTAGCTTTTTCTGTCATTGCCCAGGTCTCAGCAGAGTATGTCAGAATGGGTTTGATTAAGCTTTTGTAAATTAAAATCTTCATTTTTCTGCTAATGAAGTTAGACTTCAAGTACTTTTTTGAGACCGAAAAAACATCGGTTAGCATAAGTGGCTCCCCTACGAATCTCGGGCATTAAATCATTGAGAGTATTAATTTCTGATCCTAAATATTTAAATTTGCTAAGTTTCAAATTTGTAATTCCCAATTTCAAAATAGAGATTTCTGTTATTACCACATGGCATGTATTTAGTTTTATTTTGGTTGATTATTAGATGCATTTTGCTGGCTGCAGCCTCTAGAGATGTACGAGGGCAATCCCAAAAAAAAGGTCTCCTATATTTTTAGATATACAAAGAATCGTTTATTTTCTATAATTGCTACATCACTTTAAAGATTAAAGAATGCTTTATTTTTCAACATAATCGCCATTTCGGTCGATGCATTTTTGTAGACACCGTGGCAGTTTTACAATGCCCATGTCATACCAGCCTGCCGCCATGCCCTTCAGGAAGGGTTGAACAATCATCTGGAAACCTCAGGAACCAAATGCAGATGCAGAGAGCAGCAGAGTGATCTCCGATTCCACTTTACGCATGAGTTTCCTCAACTTTCGCGATTGTCTCGTCGGCAAAATTGACGGCCTCCCGCTCCTCTCTTCGTCATGAATTTCAGTACGACCGGCTGTAAACTCTCTACACCACTTGCGAACGTTTTTGACATCCATGCACGATTGTCCATACACTTCCGTCAATAGGCGGTGAATTTCAACCGGTTTAACGCCTTTTGCGTTCAAAAATCGAATAACTGCACGCACTTCGCGGTGACATTTATCGGGAGCTCCATTTCGAATGGCTGCCAAGCCAAGACTGAGCATCTGAGCGAAGCGCCTGTGTGCTTATGTGGTAGTGGAGGAGGCAACACTTATAACAGTGTTGCCAACAACTGTATTAAAACTTTCTCTACGTCCCCAAAAAATAGGAGACCTTTTTTTTGGGACTGCCCTCGTAAAAGCCTCTCTAAGTGACTTGGAAGTGCATGCGACTATGTCAATATCGTCAGCAAACGCAAAAGTCTGAACTGTTAAGAATTAGAATGTTTAACTATTGTAAATGCTGCTCAATTTATAGAGACATTTGGTTTTTAAAGTGTTAACTACTGACACTTACATAAATTGCTTAAGACAAATTTTTCAAATTCAGGTCCCAAAGAAAATTTTAAGTGATAGAAATGCTGCCTTTGCTTCCTCAAAATTTAAGTATTTTTTGTGAAACAATAATGTTACACAACTATTAACTACTACTACTACACCATAAAATAATTCTAAAGTAGACAGAAATCAAACTATCGTAACTAGATTAAAATATAAATTAAGTACCTATCAGGGTAATATTGCATGAACAAAACTGTTACCTCAAGTTACTGAAGAGTATGATAACACACCACATATTGAAAAAAAATTCCCACCATCTTATTTAATGTAAAGTTACCTTATGATCTCTTAAATGAAAATTAAGATACATACCTGCCAGTTGAAGAAGGAAGGAATATTGCTAAGGAAAGGCCTGATGCTTATCATAATATAGAAAAAAATAGATACGACTTCCCTTTTAAACCCTATGATGTAGTAAAGTATGAGAATTTCAATATTGTAATACAAAAAAACTTTCTCCTCCTTTCTCAGGCCCCTATAAAATTTTAAATCAAAAGAACCAAGCAATTAGTTTGCAATACAGCAGAGGAGAAAATGATGTACAGTATGCAGCGGGGCCTATAAATAAACTCCAAACATTTTATTTGAATATTAAACGATGATTGGGCAGGAGCTTTTGCTATTTAATGAAGGGAAATAATGATGTCAGTGACATGGTATATATGCCTCGAAGGGGTTGTATTTAAATTGAAATTAGGAATTTTAAAGGCTATTGCCAATTAAATAATAATTTGTGAATAATTTTCCTTCATATTTTTATATCTTACATATATATATATCTTAAATACACACACATAAATAGATAAAAATATAAATGTTTATTTCTTTAGCTAACATATTTAACTAAATATACGTTCTTCAGAACTTTTTTACTGATTTCAGTTGCTTACTCAATTCTTGTACATATTTTTAGTTTTTCTGTCAATTATTTTCCCCAATTTGAGGTTCACTATTCATTCAATTTATGGTTTTTCTATAATCAATATATTTCTACTTTTAATTTTTATTTAAATATTGAATATGTTTTATTCTGCTTTCTAAGGTTCACGATGAAACATTCAGAACTAGTTACAAAAATTTTATGCCAGGGGGGAAAATAATTTAGATGAAGACATGGCCAGTTAAATGAAGGTCAGATAAATAGGTATCTACAATATATTTGTCCTAAACAATAAAGCTGTGTAAAAAATAAGACATTGTTATTTAAAAGATCGCTCTAAAATTTTCGTTCAGTAAAATCCAATTTAACTAAGAAAACACTGAGCTAGAAAGAAATATTAAGCCCCCCCAAAAAAAACCCTGTATTTAAAAAATAAGGAACACTTAATTGTTTCATTTTTACCAATAAAATAAATAAATATTCTATAGCAAGTGCAACATACTCGCTTATGAGTACTGTAGGAGGTGGAGAAAGATATTAGAATTAAATAGTATAGATACTTAATGTACTATGATTACATACAGTTCTACTAACTGTTAAACATTTATATGCTTTTTCTACCTTTAAATGCATAAAAAAATTCTCGTAGACTGATTATCTGAAATGGCTCTGTGCTCTTTAAACTACTGTCTCTCTCAGTTTCCTTCTACTCAGATAAATAAGACATTATTCTATTAAAATAAAATTCATACACATAGATAAAAGAAACCTCTTACCTCTGCTGCTTTTCCATTAGGAAAGTCATTACAATAGCTTTGTGAAACCCTGGTGTAAAAGCTCCATTTGGAATATCTAACTGTTGCAAAATTTCTAATACTTTGATGGAGTCAAAATGGGATAAGGCAACCCTGGCTATGGCTTCCCATTGTAAAGTTGTATTCCAAGGTTTAGAATCATCAGAGGACAGGAAAAAGTCTGTGCAGGTATTATGTTGTTTATTGCACATCAAACATGTTACAAATCCATTTGTACAACAAGACTGTGAATACAGTGAAAAGAATTCTTTCCACTCTTCTGAATTTGCTGGCAAATAACCTATCAGAAGAACATTCAGCTACATAAATCTGACTTTCATGTTCAACAATTATCACATATAAACTTATACCAGCACAAAAAAGGAGGGGGGGGGAAACTTTCCACACTTTTGAATCATACAGTCTACACTTCACAAAATATAAATTAAAAACGGGGAAGAGATTTTTCACCTGCTAAAGTAGATTACCACAATTGATTTATTAAAAAGTATTTCCAAAATTCTGAGCAAAAACATAATTTTGAATCATTATTTAAAATACATTTAATATTGACAACTAGATCAGATCATTTCCTCAGATTTAACACATTTGCTGCCAACCACAAGCTATCTTGTAGTGAAACCATGAATATCTCGTTCGCTCGGCAGTGAATGTATTAATACTTATGGTTCAAATGCAAAAATTAAACATTATTAATGTTGTATACCTTATCAATTATATAATACAATTTATTGTTTAAAAGTTTATGAAAATTCTAACATTAAAAGGTTAATGATAGAAGAAATTTTTATATCAATTTACATAACCTCATACTATAGCAGAGGTCAAAAATCTTACATTACTTACAAAACAGGACAAACCTTAAGCCTTAAAGCCTTAAGAAAACATTTTTGTAAATTTGAATTATTCTACACAGAACTACAGTTATTGGTCATAACAAGCAAAAAAAATTCAAACTGAATAGGCACATTCCCCCCCCCCCCCACACACACACAAATGTTACAACATTTCAGTTGAAATTAAAATTAAGCAAAAAACTGCTCAATGGAAGATCAGAATCAGATCAGCCTAATATTTGATTCGGTAATAGACAAATAGCTTTTAAACACACAATTAAAATATTTACTGCATAAATATTCTTTTTATACCAGTATATACAATCTATACATTAACTTACAATATACAGTAGAACCTCAATCTATTTTTCCTGCAATGGTAGTTTTCTTGTATGCATTATATGCTATTTTTGGTTTTGAAGAAGTTCTGTAACATTATTTATTCTTGCACCCATCAGTTTTTTTCACTTTTGTAAATCGTGTTATCAAAGTAGCATTTCACACACGGATCATTTGGTGTAATTGGTAGGGCAATTTGTGAATATAATTTTGTTGCAATTTTCAATCAGCTTATTTTGTTTAGTTCCTTACTGACATTTTGCAAAAGTTTCAGCATTACTTTTTCAGTTCGGGTCAACAATGAATATGAAGAAGAAGAAAAAGAAAGTGAAAATATGAATAAGAGCAGGCGACAAGCTTACCGAGACCTTATAAAAGATTAAAGCTTTTTTCTATGTGCAAAGCAGTAATTGCATAGACCAATAAGACATTACAAATCTTACAAAACTGTATTTTCAGTTCGGTAAAAATTCCAACAAAACAAAGAACAACACACTTTTTACTAAAAACTAATTTTCTATTGCAGTATAGTCATGATAAAACAATTTATGTTATTTATTTAAAACAGTTAATTTATTTACAATACATAGCAGTTTTGCATTTAATTTTTTTTCTTTCATTGCTTCCTATTCCCTTAAAAATGAATGTCAAGATTCTACAGTAAACAAACATAATGCTTACCTAAATGATCATTGGCACTCAAAAGATTAACATCAGACAAATGAATAACTAACTTTCTATGAACATTGTTTAACTTCATCTTCTTTGCTAATAAGATGTAACCTTTCCAATACCTTAAAAAGATTTTACAAACGATAATTTCAAACCAGATGAAACAATTCAGGAGGATAATAATTAAAGGCTAATAACATTAAAATAAAATTTGAAAAGAAAGAAAATGCAAATACTTTCAAAAAACATCTTTTTTAATTACTAGAGGCTTTAACTATTATTTCACTTGATAATACTTTATTGCATATAATTATTTTTAAATATTTTCTTTTACTGAAAAGGGGATAACAAAAGACTACCAGAAAAACAATCTCATTTTTTGAATACATAATTAAAGTTTTATTTTAGTCACAAAATGATATTCAGTAATAAATACAGAAAAAACAAACTCCTTCCCTAGAAATAGATGCTCATGAGAAAATGCCACTTTTTTCATATTTTCTGTAAGCATTATTTATTTAAGTACAAATCAAAAACCAATCAGATTCAAACACTTTCAGACAAAATACCAAGAATTTTAAAAGAAAAGACCGCAAAATCTATCTTTTAGTTTTGAAAAGCAATATTTATCAATCTTACCCATTTGAAAAACACAGATCCATCAACCTGTTGTCCATACTTGTTGTTGTAGATAATATATGCAATATTAACTGTGAATGTTTCCATGGATATAAATGAGATCCAGGCCTAAAAGAGGAAAACATTCAAGTCTTAACAACATTAAACCCCAACTAGGTTAAAAACAGCCATAGAAATAATTAACTTATCATACTTAATTAAAGAAAGATTGTTAAAATGTTAAATAAATATGCTTTTATAATTCAACTATTTATATATCTTCATAAATATTTTTAATGCAATATAAAAATAATTGGATGATAGAAAATATTTTAAAATCACATTTTCAAATTAAATTTACTGATTGCTGTAACATGAATGAACTGTAACTACTTCTTTAACCCCTTGCCTGTGACAATGCAAATGTGTCAATTTTGGAATGCCTGACCTATCGGTGTTTCAATTCCGTGAAGCTCAAACTCAGTTCATCTAATGCATAACATGTAATTTACCATTTTCTCAACATACAGGCCTGAAATTTATAAATATACGGGCAATCAGGAAGATTCCTCCACCCCCCAACAAAAGAAAGAAAGGTGACATTCTGTTTTTCCAGCGTAGGGAAAGTCACAGTCCTGAAAAGACACGACAAGAGAGAAATTTACCTGCTTTTTTTGGTCCTTACTGCAGAAATGATTAAGATGGAAGACTGGAAGAAGCAAAAGAAACTGAACCCTAAAAAGTAGTTGCTGACAACAACACTATGGGAGGTGTTGATAAAGTTAATCAACACAGACTATCCCATTGCCAGAAAACGTGGAAAGAAATACTACGTAAAGACATTTTTCCATCATCTGGAACAAGCACTTTGGAATTTCTGTATTATTTATCAGTCGTCAAGGTGTGGAAAATGTAATACAGCCTGCAGAATCTCAATGTGGAACAAATTATTGAAGATAAGCCATAAATTCAGATGAAAGGAACAAGGCACTGTCAGGACCAAATTCAAATATGACTCATTTTTCACATGCAGCATACAAAGGTGTCAAACAAATTTGATTACAAGAAAAAAATCTTACAGCTAGGAGAATACAGTGCCCTACTAGTGGCTGAGTGGTTAAAACTGCTGAGTACTGGTAGTGACACAATCCAATAACATAACTCAAAATGAGATAGTTATTTATGCAATGTGAATGACTGAATAGTTACTGTATATACTATAAATAATCTCTAAAGTTATTCAAGGCAACTACGTAAATTTACAGAACTATTTAAATAACAACATAAATTACTTAAAAAAGTGTGAAACTTTTACACAGAGTACAAATTTATAGAAAGTTCCCACACATTATTTAGATGCTCATGATTCATAAAAAAATTAGGATGGCAAAGGAATATACAGGATAAATAATTTTACGAATGATTAAATTTTACATGATTTAGTAATAAACTAATTGAAAAACATAGTTTAAATATATCTTTAATATCAAGCTTGGAACACCTACAATAAGCATCAACTAAGTATTTTTAAGATAACAATAAGATAAATGAATTAAAAACTACTTTATAATCTTTTATAATTATTACATATGCAAAATTATGTGAACAAAAAATTCTACCAAGTTAAAAACTACCTTATAACATTTTACTAATTAATGTATTTAAAATGAAAAAGTTTTTTTTTTTTTTTTTTTTTCCAGTCTTTATTTTTCTGCCTAAATCTAGAGGGGGAAATATTTCCCAGTAAAAATTTATGGTAAACATGGGAATAAATCTTTCATACTAAAGTCAATTATAATATTTATGATTATGCAGGCAGTCAAGAAAGAAAAGATCACAAACATTTTTAGCGTTTCAAATTATACTAGTGAACATGTAATAGAAATAGCATAAAACTCAATAAAATGCAGTAAAATGTAAATTTAATCGTATAATAAGTTTACTATGAAAAAAGTTTCATATTTTCTTTGTATTGAAATTCATACTTCTGAATTTTATTTTACATTGCATTTTCTTTCCTTTTCTTACATTACCACAATTAATATCTTTGCTTTAAATCATGATAAAATTCTCAAGATATAAGTTGTCTGTTCAAAAAGCTCAAAGACACATTTTCTTCCTAGCATGTAAACAACATCAACATTATAAATATGGTAGCAGTTTGAACTAACAACTGTAAACAACAGACGTGCATGTGGTCTGTCAGTTGTGTGCAATGGAGCAACAAGCAGTAATTTGATTTTATGTTTTAGTAAGAAAAACGGCTGTGCAGGTATTCGAGTCTATAAAGAAAGGCTTACAACAATAATTGTTTAAGTGGTTTAAATGTGTTAAAGAAAGATGTATCACTTAAGAACAGTGGAAGAATAGGCTGTCAAACCAGAAACATCAAGAAATTCCATGATCTTCTGATTTCGACCATCATCTCTCATGCAGAGCTATCACAGAAGAACTGAATATCTTTAAATCAAGTGTTCAAGGCAGTCTCCGGAATGTTTTGGTGGAGAGAAAAGTGTGTGCAAAGTGTGTCTGCAATCCTTAATTACTGAACAAAAACAACAACACATGAAAAAACACAGACAATTAATTCTGTTCTGTAAAAAAATCATCACTGGTGACAAGACTGTTGTCATCAGTACAAACCTATGACAAAGTACAGAATGAATTCGTATCGTGATAGTTTGCCAAGAAAATACAAATGATAAAACTGGAAGTGAAGACAATGCTCATTGCGATTTCTTAGTGTACACGACATTATTCACAAGAAATGTATTTCTCACTGGCACCACTGCAAATTTCCAGTTCCATCTGAGTGTTATAAATTGGCTGTGCAAGTAGACTCAGCAGGTTTCTACATAATAATGGAAGGGGAAAGGATTTTTTTTTTTCTTGCTGTATGACAATGGACCTGCTCACACAAGTGGAGCTGTGATACAGTTTCTAGTGGGAAAATGTGCCAGTTCTCAACCACCATTCATAATCACCTGACTTGGAGCCAAATGACATTTTTCTATCCCCCAAAAATCTAACATCACATGAAGGATCATTGATGTAACCAACATTCAAGCCACGGCGATATGCAATATGAATTACATCTCAGACAAGGACTTTTCTGACAGTTTTGTATGGTTATATGAATATTCTGTGCCATGTACTCAAATGGGAGAGATTATGTAACCTGGTCTTGGAACCTTTTGAACTGAATGGTGCAAGCACGTTTTCATTCTTTCTGCTCTTTCCTTTTCTTTCTCCCTCTCTTCCCTCTTTTTAACTTTATGGCTAAAATTTTGTTAAAAACTTTTACATCATTTCATACCATTTATGTTAAGTAGAAGTTTCAATTAACTTTTCTAATTTAAATAAAATGCCCTAAAACACATATAACAGAATTTAAACTGATTTATTTTAATTTGGTTTTGCTATATTGTAATATTTTATTCACAGTAGGGTTATGATTATTGAATTGCTGATGTCTTGCCCATTTACATATGAAAACATGGAAAATACATCGCTTGTTGTGCTCAGCAATTTGGTTCATACGGTGTGCATCAGGGGAACTTCATTATTTGAAACGTGCGCCATCTAGCGACATTTATTCCGAGAAGGATGGGGTGGTGCTCATTGATAAGAGCAATGTCTAACATTTTAGGTCATGTAAGTTTAGTACCGATCATGCAGTGGACGAGAGAGGAAAGCGCATTCGCCGTGGAGTCTTACTTTTCAACATACTGCATTTTCATCCATATAAATTGGCAGTGGTGCAAAAACTTAATCCACGTGATTTTCTTTCACAAAAAAATGCATGCGAAGTTGTTCTTAACAATATGCTTCATGATGCCCATGTGTTCTATAGCAATGAGGCTAATTTTCATCTTTCCGGTTGCATGAATAATACTGGAATACAAAAATACAAAACATGCAATACTGGAGTGGCACGAATCCCCAAGAACTTCATGAGCAGCCCGTCAATACAGAACATGTGACTGTTTGGTGTGCATTGTCCAGAATAGGCACCATCTGACCGTGGTTTTTTGGAGAATATTTTCCTGAATGCCTTATGTCCTTACGGGGTGATCTTCAGTGGCCAGCATGCTTGCTTGATTTAGCCCCATGTGATTACTTTTTGTGGGGTTTTTCTGAAATCACTAGTGTCCAAAGACCCTGGCTCAAATGAAGAACAATATGCTATCGATAACATACCCGTTGATATGCTAGTAAAGTGGAAAGAAACTTCAAGACTCGACTATCTGAATGCAGAACGGAGGCCAACTTAATGATATTATTTTTAAACCATATATATATATAAACTTTAAGTGTCTCTCTATAACTTAAAAAAATTAATATGATATCGCTGAAACTATTTGTGTTATTCATTTTAAAAATAAGTAAGGTAGTTTCCCTGTTGTACCCTGTATGATCAAAACCTTTAAGAATAAATTTTTTAAACTGAAGTAAAGTTGCCAAATAAAATCAAACTAGAAATATAAAAACTGGAAAGTGTCAGAGAAATGTCACCAAGTTAAAGGGATTAAGTCATCACACAGCTTGATTTCAATTTCAGTCAACCATCTAAAATTAGGCAAAGAAATGGTCTTAGTTTGATGTAAAATTTGAATGACTATCAGTTTTAAAGATGAACAGACACTGGTCTCTCTTTTTCAGAAGCAAAAAATATTCTGGAAAATTCCCTGAAAACATCTATGCCAAACTAAGGTTGTTTTTGGTCTAATTTTTTTGTTCTAATTTTAAATTTTACTTTGGTATGTTATCTTTCAACAGAGGAGGCTCTTGATGTATTAAGGGTACAGCATCAATTAAATAAATTTTTGCATTAAAGGCATTACGAATAGTTCATAAACAAACTTTTGTATTTTTTTAATTAAAATGCTATGAAAGTACCTAAATGCATTAGATGTGCACATAAAGTAATCAGACAAGTTAAAAGCTTAAACCATAAAATAAAAAATCTGATGTGGACACAACATGACTTCCTTGTACGGAATATTAAATTATACGCATTTTTTTCCTGAATTTCATTTAAATTGATTGGATTGAATTAAATCTACTTCGTCAACAGTGCATAAACCACATAAATAAATGCACTCTTTAAAATTCATTATCTTTGTTTA